TCTGAAGCAAAGTTCTTAACCCGAGGTAATATTTCTGGGTTAGTGGAGTCTGTAACCTGAAGCGTATGTAACCTGAAGCGTATGTAACCTGAGGTACCACTTTACTGTTCTAGTGTAGTACTTGGAGGAAACCAAACTGCAGCAGAACGGAAACAGTGGTGACAAATACAGATCAGAATTGAAATTGCTGCCTTCTTACATCCCTAAGCACCGGGAATGCCAGCTTGGCCCCACAACCGTGGGTGTCTGGGGCCGAGGGCGCCATGCAGCATTCATGGCCCCGGCACCGAAATTTGTGGGTGCCTGGCCCCTTCATGGAGAATTTTGTGGGTGCTCAGGCACCCAGGGCCACAGGGAGCTGACACCTATGCTAAGCACTTTGAATTAGGCCCAGAAATGTATAGGAAATAAAACGTGAAGGTAAGAGACACATTGTAAAGCTCTTTTCATGTACAGATGCTTACACAAATAATGGGTTAGAACAAAGACAAGGCACAGACCTCACATTTGAGCTTGGAGTATTGCATTTCATAACACTGATACTCCCAAAGTCGGCACAGGGGCATGATTTGGAGCACATCAGAATACTGTGGATAGGAAAAAGTTGACTACTTAAAATAGTTCTCCGTGTTGCTGAGCGAGTACACCAAATGTTCCTGAGGAGATAATTATAGGGCTAATGGGGAGAGGAGACACGAGGATCAAATACATTATTAGGAGGGCAGAGATCCATGGCAGAAATACAGGAATGTAATTACCCCTGATTTCAATGCCGGTAATATCTAAGTGTCAACTTTTTGACACTACAATAATAAACGCTTTAGCTACAAAGCCACCACATGGTGATGATTTATTGCAGCCCTTTGGAAAGATAAAGCTACAGACATTATTCCTTCGCTTTTGCTTATATTAGAATGGACAAAAAAAAAAAAAAAATGTTAAGAACCTCTTTTGTGGTTTCTGCCTAATGGATGCTAGCAATTGCATCCAAATTGAAATGTCAAACACAGCTGATTCTTCGCAGACCTAAGGATTGAGGGAGGGAAGGCATGGCTTTTTGCTGAGGCGCTTTTGTTGGCAACTGTTTTGCCGCCAAATTATAGGCATTTACCTCTCAGGTGGCCCATTTAGGAGGAACAAGAAGAAGGTTCATCTGATTCCTCCTGCTCTCCATGTTGTGAACTGGAAGGGTCTGTAAATGATGAGCAGGTAGATATTTTATAAAGCTAACCTGAGGCAGTTATTCAGCTTTCGCACTTCTCCAATTGTGGCAGTACAACTCTCGGCTCAAAAATATGCCAAAATGCTCTTTGTAAAGCCCAGACAGCCACTTGTCTCTTTGAGCTTTCCTTCTCAATGTGCTTCACCATGGCTAAATTTTTTTTCATTAACGGCTGTAAACTTTTCAACTGATGCAAGACAGCCTATTTGCTTTTGAATAGGTCATTTCAAACCATAAAGGTGAAGACAGATGTACTTGGAAACAGGAGCGTCTCCAGGGGGGGATGGCTTTGTGTGGAGTGAGCTTTCAAGCTTATAATAATGCACATATAGCCAATGGGCTGCATCCTGTTCACCTGCTCCTGTTTGCCCAGCACCCCTTGCTTCAGGTAGGCTATCTGCTGCCCATCACTCCTATTCGTCCCCCCCCTTCAAGTCAATGGCATATTTACGGTAACCCATTAAATATTTGTTCAACATTTTTGCAAAATTTGTTTAGCTTTTTTAATACTCATTTTGGAGAGGGGAGATGTTTGATGCTGTGATTGACACAAAGGTTAGCAAATCAGCACAGCCTTTCCCTGAAAAGGAGGGAAAGTGACGCCATCTGTGACTCGGGTGCTAGCCAATCAGTGCTGTGCCCAGCAGACTTCTGAAAAAGCCAAAAGCATATGGTTCCCTCAGAACCAGATATGGGTGAGTAGACTGCACACATCTCCATCTAAATGACAGGGAGAATACACCCAAAGCAGGTTCACTGCCTAAGCTAAGGACTTGTGTCTTCACCCCCACTTTCCCCCAGGAAAAGGCACTCTCAGTTGAGATATAGAAGGCGTATCTACACATAAACGTAAACTGATTTTTTTTCTTCTTTTTTTCACATGTTTATCCCACTCTTTTGCTAAGGAACACAGGGTAGTGTGCAAGTTTAGTCTCTCTCCATGTTATCCTCACAACAACCATGTCAGGTAGGTTATTTATGTCATTATATTTCTATCCCACCTTTTCACCTACGAGCTGAAGCTGCCATACAAGTTTCTTCCCCCCCACCCATTTTATCGACACAACAAACCTGTGAAGTAGGTTAGGCTGAGAGACATTGATTGCCCCAAGGTTATCCAGTGAGCTTTATGGCCAAGTGGGGATTTTGTACCCGGGTCTCCCAGATCCTATACCACACAGGCAGACAATGACTGGCCCTAGGTGATTGCATCAGGGGCAAAATCACAATAATACATGCCTTTTTGAATTATTGAAGGAAGTATTTTTAAAATGCTATGACTAATTATAAGAAGAAAAGGCTCTCTCTCTGTCATATTTTCTTTTTTTGTACCTTATTGTAGTAAAACGACAACACCAAAATAGGGGTTAGCCACACTTCCTCTTGTCAGCCGCTTTGCTCTGGGAAAAACTGCTATTTAGCATGCTAATGGAGCAAACAGCACTTTGGGCTTTGCATGGATTGTTGTTTATTCTGGTTTAGAGCTAAAGAGTGAGTTTTCCTTGGGAAAGGAGCAGGGCAAGGGGAAAACAACCCATCTAGGATGGGACAAGCAGAAGTGTGGAAAAGCCCATACTCTCATAAAGGCCATATTCAAGCCACACCAATTAACTAGGACTGCAATCCTATGCATACCTATTTGGGATTGAACCCTATTGAACTCAGGAGGGCTTGCTTTCAAGTACAGTGGTACCTCAGGTTAAGTACTTAATTCGTTCCAGAGGTCCATTCTTAACCTGAAACTGTTCTTAACCTGAAGCACCACTTTAGCTAATGGGGCCTCCCGCTGCTGCCGCACCGCTGGAGCCTGATTTCTGTTCTCATCCTGAAGCAAAGTTCTTAACCCGAGGTACTATTTCTGGGTTAGCGGAGTCTGTAACCTGAAGCGTATGTAACTGGAAGCATATGTAAACCGAGGTACCACTGTATGTGCACAAGACTGAGCTTTCAGGGCTGTAGTCCTAAGCCTAAACATGTGGAAGCAAGACCCATTGAACTCTATGAGACGTACTTTGGCAGGGTGAGCAGGGAATGCTCCAGAGAGCTTATTGATTAAAGATCATAGACTCCAGTATGCCATACAGGATTTAAAAGCACCTGGCTTCAGAAACATGCACACAATTTAAGTTTTCTCACATCTTAGCCCAGCTCTGCAGTATTCACAAATGTAAAAAGGTAAAGGGACCCCTGACCATTAGGTCCAGTTGTGGCCGACTCTGGGGTTGTGGCACTCATCTCGCTTTACTGGCCGAGGGAGCTGGCGTACAGCTTCTGGGTCATGTGGCCAGCATGACTAAGCCACTTCTGGCGAACCAGAGCAGCACACAGAAACACCGTTTACCTTCCCACTGGAGCGGTGCCTATTTATCTACTTGCACTTTGACATGCTTTTGAACTGCTAGGTTGGCAGGAGCAGGGACCGAGCAACGGGAGCTCACCCCATCACGGGGATTCGAACCGCCGACCTTCTGATTGACATGTCCTAGGCTCTGTGGTTTAACCCACAGTGCCACCTGCGTCCCTGTTCACAAATGTAGATAACCATTAATTATTTACCTTGCACTTACATGCAACGCCAGAAAAGTAGGTGCTTCCTAGAAATCTCCAGCAACTGCTGCTTTGTTTTCTAACTATTAAAACATAACCACGCCAGATGTTCATGCTGGTGAGCACATTTGCAACATATATGGCTGATGGGAACTGGAGTTGAGCAACAACTGGAAGGCCACAACTTCCTTGTCCCTGCCCTAGAGAGCCCTAGCTTAGGGCTCTTGCATGTGCTCTTTTCAAGAGATCCTTGGGAGTGGAATATTGGAAGAAGCTTGTTCACGTGATCTTCGCTGAAGCTCTACAACAGAAGAGACAACACTGTATGAGCCCAGATCTGCAGAGCTACCCTAAGTGTTTTATGTCAGCTGAAACAATCCAGTCCCGACTAACTTGGTGTGCTTAGAATTGCATACCTTAAGATCTGCTAATGAAGTTCTGCTGAAAATGCCATTTTAGCAGGAGTGGAAGTTAATACCCAGGAAACACAGCGCAGGACCGTTTCTGCTCTAGCCCAGAAATTTGGGGTGACTTCCTGCAGAATTTCCAACACAGGACTTATGCCAAATCACATCACCAGTCTATATAGCTCAATGTTGGCAGCCATTTTTGGCAGCGATTTCCCAGGGTTTCAGACAGGAAGTTTCCCCAGCCCTACCTGGAGATTCACTGAATTGAACCTGAAACCTTTTGGGCACAAAGTATGCAAGTCTGTCACCGAGCCACAATTTTTGCCCTTCTTTTTGGCTCCCAGAAGCAGACAAAGCCTTCCTTTCTCCCTGCCTTTGAAAACTGAAATGAGGAGCGTTTCATAACTTTTGGAGCAGCTCTTGAAGCAAAATGGTCCAAAGAGTCTCATTTACTTGGAGAGAACGACCCTAAAAGCTAGATTAAAAAGAGCAAACTTGCTAAAGCACCAAATTCGTTTTACAGATTTTTTTTAAAGCAATTTGTCCACATTATTAATCCACTAAAACTGCAGTTTAATTATTCCATCATAGTATTTCATAAATCTTTGCATATAGAATTAGGTATGCAATTGATCATGAAAGCAACTAAACAGCACTGGAAATAAGTAGATTTATCCAATGGGAGGTAGCATCTCCGTTGCCCTGGCAACGGGAGCGCTCATCTCTGCCCTGTTCCTCTCTGACTCGGCAGCTTCTAGTGATGATGCTATCGCTGTTGCCTGGACAACTGCAGAGCTACCTGTCCTTTAGGGTGGCCATGTGTCCTACTTCCAGAGGGTGGTCCTCTATTTGAAAGGCTAAAAGAGGACAGATGTCTATTTAAAGAGGTGTTCAGTCCAAGTCTGATTTAAAGATAAATAACTGTCAGAAGGGAGAACAGAGGCCTTGGAGTTGCCCGTTAACCCCTGGCAGCAGACTCAGGCAGCAAACTGAGCAGGTACATGGGTCATCCACTATGGTGAGATGCACCGTATTTCTCTTAAAATTATGCTCCTTATTTCCTCATTAGCATATATACACCAAAATTACCTTGCGCACATTTCATGGAAAACTTGTGCAAAACCACTAATAACTCTTTTGTCTTCTTTTGGAAGACAGTGCTTTCCCTCTTTTTCTTTTCTTTCTGAAATCATATGTATTTGATTTTGCCAGTACAAAATTATAAAAATCCAAATATATATCCATATACAGAGATTTCTCTAAATCTCAGGACTTCCCCCAACCCCCTCCATGGAGTCCCATTTTAAGCATTTAAAACTGCATATTCTTCCAATCTCTAACTTTTATATCAATCCTTATTGTCCATGGTAATTGTTACGCCACAAGTGAAATCGAAATCCTGCCAATGTTTCCATCTGTTTACAGTGGTCTTTTAGATAGCCTAATACATTTTCCCCATTCTTTTGCAAAGTTTTTATCCTCTTGGTTCCTGAGTTTCCCAGTCAGCTTTGCCCTTTTTATTATTTGTTTTAATGCCTCATTCCCCAGTTTTTTAACCAACTCTTTTTCTTTTTTCATCAAGCTTTCCCTCTTTTTCACTTGTGAAGTTGAAGTTGCTCAGACCTTGATTGATGGACCTCTGGCAGGATGAGAATGGTTGACTCCCCTGCAAAAGTCGGGGCATATCTCCTTTTAATAAATTTATGACAACCCTGTGAAGTTAGGCAAGTTAAACTTAGAGGCAGCCGTTTATCCATTCACCCAGTACATTACACAACTGAGTTAAGGGTTGAGCCTTTATTTTTTCCAAACCAAACATTTGTTCAACTGCACCAGACCAGCTTACTGACTGGAGCTTCAGTTCAGTTTGAATACTGCTATTGATTTTGAAGAGCTTAGTCTTTGGGGGAAAGATTTAACATTGATTTTGAAGAGCTTAGTCTTTGGGGGAAAGATTTAACATTTAGTTTTGTGCCCAACCAACCCCCAACCCTCTCCAAGAGTAAAAAAAGCACCAGCTCACATCTTGCAGATCGACAGCACCCTTAAAAATACATTACGTTGTCTCTTTCATCCAGTTCCAACCATTAAGCCAAGCTGAATTGTCACAATCTGCCAAATCATGAAGCTTAATTTTCCATTAGTGAAGCTCTCATTAAGGACATAGAATGATAAGACAGGAATGACACCTGTTCTTTGTTTCCATTTCATATCAGTAGCTTCTCTAACGAGGTTCTGCAGCTAATTAAAGTTGGAGCTGACCCCTGGAGGTACAATAGAATCATGTACTGATAGAATAACTATCAAGTACTTTTCTCCTCTGGAGCATAAATTAGTTGAAAGAAATCACCAAGCCACAGAAGTGTTGTCTGTGGGATGTGCATCTAAAATGTCAAATATGAACATCTTTTGTGAACAGAAATGCCTGACCCCAGAGGGGTAGTTGTCACAGAAAATAACAAATGTGCCCTTGTGGCACTTCAAAGACTATCAGCTGGAATAGCTCACAGTCAGTACAGCATGCGACTCTTAATCTCAGGGTTACGGGTTTGAGACCCACATTAGGCAAAATGTGGATTCCTGCACTGCCTGGGGTTGAGCTAGATGGCCTTCGTGGTCCCTCTAAGCTATATAGCCTTTTTTGGCTAAGGAAGAGGTGGAAATTCAAATTGGGTTGCATTTTAACATTGTTGTTGTTTAGTTGTTTATTTGTGTCTGACTCTTTGTGACCCCATGGACCAGAGCACGCCAGACACTCCTGTCTTCCACTGCCTCCTGCAGTTTGGTCAAACTCATGCTGGTAGCTTCGAGAACACTGTCCAACCATCTTGTCCTCTGTCGTCCCCTTCTCCTTGTGCCCTCCATCTTTCCCAACATCAGGGTCTTTTCCAGGGAGTCTTTTCTTCTCATGAGGTGGCCAAAGTATTGGAGCCTCAGCGTCAGGATCTGTCCTTCCAGTGAGCACTCAGGGCTGATTTCCTTCAGAATGGATAGGTTTGACCTTCTTGCAGTCCATGGGACTCTCAAGAGTCTTCTCCAGCACCATAATTCAAAGGCATCAAGCACCAGAGATCAGCAATTGTGCTGGTTGGTGCACTGAGATTCTCAACTATTCTCCATTAAAAATGGAACTTCTTCTCCACCCTCTCGTTGCACAACTGTCTCAAAGCTGCGATCCAACTTTATAATTCATGGTAGACCAGTAGGCAAGCTGATTAAAAGAATATATAGAGATCTGAGTGTGCTGTGCAGCAGCTAAATGTTCTCTTAGCTTTGGCAATGTAATTACCCTCATTAAAGTCTCTTTGGCTTATCAAGAACATTCTTCTTCCTTCTTCCAGGATAAGAGTGCAGCTCAAGTTTCAGAAACAGGCTCCAATAACTAGGAACATGGCATATTTATCTGTCATCTGCATGGGGGAGAATGAGAGGAAATCAACATTAATTTTTCATAGCAAGGAAAGATGGCACCCGAGAAAATACTTTGTAGAGAAATGTGTTTAGGAGGAAAGCCCATTAAAAAATCATAATTTGGGATGTATTGGGAACAAGTCTATGGCAGTTATTAAATATTGACTTAACGGGCATATTATTTTTCGCTGCAGTGTGTTGGTGGCTGACCGCCCCCCCAAAGACTGTTCAAATAATTGATATGTCTATTTACAGGTGGAGAAAAATAACTATGTGTTTACTTTTAGGGCTTTATTTCCTCCCTCCAAATGCACACTAAGAAGCGAGATCATTGTGACATCATGTTTAGGCTGGAATTCAATGTCGCAATAAGGAGATTGTTCTCCTGCAAGAGCATTTTTGCTTGCCCAGTGGGAATATATCTCCGCTCTTTGCATGCTGTTGTGGGAGTGTTCCTGACTGCCCCACCGCCCCTGAAGATTTGGGTGAGGTGGGGGGGGAGCTAGTGGGAGTCCTTGTTCTGGCTTGCACTAACAGAATGGGTTTCTTGACTCTGGCCCTAAGTATTTATGTAGCCCATTTTAAATAGCCAAAGCAGTTCACCACCATTATGTCAAGTATCCTTACAACAGCCCTGTAATGCAGACCTGCATTATTGACCCCACACTGCAGATGAGAGACTGGGGCTGAGAGAATAACAGCTCCAGAATCACGCTGCAATCCCAGCCCCATTTACCTAAGTGCAAGTCCCATTGAAGTCAATAGGACTTACTTCTGAGTAGATATGGTCAAGACTGCTCTGCAGCTTACCTATCGAATCAATGGCTGTGGTGGGAATTGTGGTATTTTTGTAATCAGCCCTGGGACCACTCAGTTAAAAGGTGGGTTATAAGTAAGCACATCCTGACCGTGCCTACTACTACTACTACTACTAAATTTTTATTTATATCCCGCCCTCCCTGGCCAAAGCTGGGCTCAGAGCAGCTAACAACAGTAAAAATAGCAGAATTTACATAAAATCACAGTCAATTAATTAAAATACATTCTAAAATCAATTCAGAATCAAATTAATGACAACCATTGGGCTAGAGTTCCAAAAGAATTACAGAAGGAGAGAGGGGGTCAGACTGTGTCCTTGCCAAAGGCCAGGTGGAACTGCTCCGTCTTGCAGGCCCTGCAGAAAGATGTCAAGTCCCACAGGGCCCTAGTCTCTAGTGACAGAACGCTCCACCAGATCGGGGCCACAGCCGAAAAAGCCCTGGCTCTGGTTGAGGTCAGCCTAACTTCCCTGTGGGATCTCCAAGATGTTTTTATTTGAAGACTGTAAGGTCCTCCGTGGGACATACCTGGAGAGGCGGTCCCATAGGTACAAGGGTCCTAGGCCATATAGGGCTTTAAAGGTTAAAACCAGCACCTTAAACCTGATCCTGTACTCCACCGGGAGCCAGTGCAGCTGGTATAGCACCGGGTGAATGTGATCCCACGGCAAGGACCCCGTAAGGAGTGTAGCTGCGGCATTCTGCACCCGCTGGAGTTTCTGGGTCAGTCTCAAGAGCAGCCCCACGTAGAGTGAGTTACAATAATCAAGCCTGGAGGTGACCGTTGCGTGGATCACAACGTCCAACCCCATACCCTTCAACAAGATGTGGCCCAAATCTGGGACACCACCTTCCAGATCCAAAATCCTGTTTGAGTCACGCAACACATGTGAGATTGTGGACTTGGAAAAAGTGCTTTTTTGGGGTGAGACCTTGGCCCAAAATTGTGTGAGGTGGTCGCCATATTCTCATCAGAAAAGAACGGCATGTCCTGTGTTGTCGTTTTCTGAGGCAGTTGACAGGTATGCAACCCACCTCAAGATTCTCCCATATTCTGCTGCATGAGAAAAAATGTTTAGGGGTACTCTCATGTTCCTACTCATATTGAAATACTGCCCCTCAATGAGGCCAAACTTAGATTCTCAAAATGTTTAGGGGTATGTGTACCCTCAGAAAAAAAGCACTGCTTAGGCCTAACTTAGCTACACTTCTGGAGTAGCTTATCTATTTAGATACTAAAAATATGATCCTGCTTAATAAAGGAAACTTTGCCACCTCCTCTACCAATTGCTAGTTTGATAATAAGATGCCACTATTGTCAACACAGGGATCAGCACGGCAAACATTGTCTATCTTGAATGCTGCTTCTGGCAGAGTTCTGCTTTTGGCAGAGTTCCTGGATCATCTTCTGCCAGCATTGCTGTCTGCTCATGTTTCTCAATAACTTTTAATTACTCAGCAGTTGCAGAATGAATACACCCAAGAAAATTGTGGGCCAAGAAGCCTACCCTCATAACGAAGCTGTCCAGGACAGTTAGAAAAGTATTAGAGCAAAAGCTCTGTGAGCAAGCAGGCATTTGTATTATGAAGAGGGCAATGGAATTGCAAAAGGCTCATGCCATAAATCATCCACTTAAAATAGCTGATTAAAACTGGGTCATATGCCAAAAGAGAAACGAAGACGGTCATTGTAATTGTAGCAGATATGCTTTGCAACCTTGGGACGCATTACTGCAATAATGAATAAGGATTGTTCCAACTTTTTGTGTGTTCATTGCTGAAGATAGAGCTGCAGTCCTAAATATGGTCAGGATTAAACCCCATTGAATGTGATGCATCATGTTGCATGTGTTATTTTTAGGGCAAGACTACATATGACTAGCCTCATGTTTGCTTCATAATAGTAAGACAGTGGCAGGGGGCAGTTTTGTTGACATCTGTCTGTCTTGGGAGACAATGGAGGAGTGTGCCTTTGTGGGTGACGTCAAACTGTTGGAAGGTCGCAGCGCCTGCTGTGGCTGTAGAGACCAATACGGAAGAGACATGTTTTGTTGCAGCTGGGGCAGGTGAAGGCCTCCAGTTGTGCTGCTACAGATGTTCCATGGTGTTTCTTCTCTCTGTGCTCCTCCTAGCAGTCATTCCTCCTCTGGTCTCTGCTACAAATGCACAACCTGCCGTATTTTTCTGTGTATAAGACGCCCCCATGTATAAGACAACCCCTATTTTTTTAAACCCAAAATTAAGAAATTAAGTTGTTTAGCTTTGGGGGAGGGGGGAGGTCACTTCCGCCAATCGCTCACCCGCCTGCCCACCACTGCCAATCGCTTGCCACAGCCACTGCTGATCACACACCTCACTGCAGCCACCAATTGTCTGCCCGTTCACCACCACCAACAGCCCACCCGCCTACTTGCCAATCGCCTGCCCAATTGCTGCAGCCACAGCCAATGGCCAGCAGGCCTTGCCGCAGCCACCAATCACTCGCCCAATTGCTGCTGCCAATCTCCTGCTTGCTGCTGCCATTAATCGCACGTCCCCCCTCTGCATTCACTATCCATGTATAAGATAACACCCAATGTTTGCCTATTTATTTATTTTTAGCAAAAAGCATCGTCTTATACACAGAAAAATACGGTAACTTGCCTGTCTCCAGGCACTGCAGTCATCTGCAAGGGACTCCCATACAGTAGTGTTGATGTTGCCACCCTTCATGTTTGCAAACATCTTGGTCTGCCAAGGTCCCCATAGAGCACATCCTTGGAGATCCTGCCATTTTCCATTCTGTGGGCACGACCAAGCCGGAGTGGACCTCACTGAGACAGTGCGAACAGCCTGGGAATGTGGGCTTGGGAGAGCACATCTTTGAAACTCTGCCCAGTCATGTGATGCCCAAAATTTCCCTGACTCAGGAAAGTGGAAGGTGTTGAGACATTGCTCCTGATGGTTATAAGTTGCCCATGTCTCACTACCATAAAGTAGCATGCTCAACACACAAACCTGGTAGACTTCCATCTTAGTATTGGTCGTTAGCACCACATTCTCCCATACCCTTTGGAGAGGCAAGTCATTGCAATAGCTGCATTGCCAATGCACTTGTCCAGCTCAGCATCAATGGGGAGGGTGCTGGTTATGGTGGAGCTCCCGTTGCTCGGTCCCAGCTCCTGTCAACTTAGCAGTTTGAAAACACACCAAAAAAGTGCAAGTAGATAAATAGGTACCGCTCCGGTGGGAAGGTAAACGGCGTTTCCATGTGCTGCTCTGGTTTCGGTGTTCTGTTGCGCCAGAAGCAGCTTAGTCATGCTGGCCACATGACCCGGAAAAACTGCGGACAAATGCCAGCTCCCTTGGCCTGTAAAGCTAGATGAGTACCTCAACCCCAGAGTCATCTGAGACTGGACTTCACTGTCAGGGGTCCTTTACCTTTACCTTAGGTAGACAAAATTGTCTGCCTCCTCAAACATGTGGTCACCAATGCTTATATAGGATGTGTTGAATAAATTCAATTCATTCAAATGGTAAAAGATCAATCTTTGACAATTGAAGGTAGCAAGTGATGTCTCTGACTCCCCATAGAGCTACTATTGCAGTAGCTAACTCTGGACCACAGACAAATAGGCTGACCTATAAAGTCAGGCAGTTTCCTGTGTTCTACAAGCACCTTTGTCCAAATTAGGGCCATCTTTTAAGATTGCTCCATCCAGTTCAGGATCCCTCCCCAAACACACACATTTCCAAAAAGATCCAGACCACTTTATCACCCCAGGGAACTGACTGGCAAAAAGGTTTGATGGTTACTTGTTTGAAAGATGTTCTCAGCATCCAGCAAAGTCTTATTTCCCCCTGTAACTGGAGTTTAAACCCCATGACTATTGTTTCCCATTAATCTTGCTGTAGACAAATCTGTCAATAGAAACTTAATGCTTGAAGTAGTGTCTTTATCCAGAGAAAATGTCTCCTTCAAAATAATTAACTAGATTCATTTAATGAGATTAGAGATTACTTAATGAGAATCCCAGATTGCAAAAGCATTGGCATACCCATGACAGGTATGCTTAGTTTTCACAGTGCATTGAAGCATAGTGATGCTTCCCATGAGGAAAGGATTGGACTGCTAGAATGAAGTTAATAATGGAATGGATTTGATGCAAATGCACACAGGGAAAAAAATTAGTTAATGTAGTCTAGGTGCTTTCTTTCAAAACAAATCTGCTATCTTATTTTTTTTATAAAAAAAACACAACACCACATTTTTAAAATAAAAAAACCACATTCCGTTGATTTAATTGGTAGAGCTGAGCATATTCTTAACTTTCTGAAGTTGAAATCAGTGAGACTTATAAATATTTAATTTTGGCT